TGTGTGTGTGTGTGTGTGTGTGTGTGTGTGTGTGTGTGTGTGTGTGTGTGTGTGTGTGTGTGTGTGTGTGTGTGTGAGTGAGTGTGTGTGGTGGTCTGAGGATGTGGACTTATTCTGTGCTAATGAGGTTCAACAACAACCTCTTCATTTCAACAGCTTCCTCTTATGACTAATACTGATGCTGATGAACGATTAATATTCAGAGTCTCAGGACACACTGATGTTTTTGTGCAGACATTGAGTAATTTTCTGGATTTTATAAAGAATATATAACAACAACCAGTGTGAATTTATATTTATTTATATTAATGCTAATAAAGTATGTTAAAAAAGTCTTAAACATATGTACAATTTTGAATAACAATTTTAAGTATATTTGTATTTTTATTACACTATTATTCTTTATATTATTTTAAATAAGTATTATTTATTTTGTTTCCTAAGTGTTGCTAGTACATCGCTATGCTAATTTATAATTTGTATTATTATTATTATTATTATTATTATTATTATTTTATAGAATAATTCCCAATGTTAATGTATATTTATTTAAACTTGTATTATTATTATTATTATTTTACATACTGCTAAAAAAAAAATGTATAGCCTGAGTGCACTGTAAGTCGCTTTGGATAAAAGCATAACTGTAAATGTTTTATAGTTTATTATATTTATTTTTTATAGTTTATTATATTTAGTTAATTATTTTTGTTTTGAATTCGATTTTTTATATAATAATACCAAATGTGAATATTTATGTTCATGCTAATAAACCACATTGTATATAGTCTAGAACATATACTGATTAAAAAATGTTTTTTATATATGATTATTATTATTGTTATTATTTTAAGCATTATTTATTTTGTTTCCTCACAGTGTAATCACTGTGCTAATAAACCTTCATATTTCAAAGTCTAAAACTACACATGTATTTATTTATTTAAATTAGTTGTAAACTATTTTAGTTGTATACAATGGAATTCATGTGCAAATTCTTGTTTAAAAAAGATTTGCAGAAAATCACACAAGCCAGCTAATGAAAGCTCTACTGTAAATCTTTGAAAACCTTTGAAACACAACACAAATACAATGCTGTGCTTTCCAGGTGGGGTTTTCCTTGTGTTTGTGCGCGTTTTATTCCAGTCGTGTGTGTGTGTGTTGTTCTTCAGGATGGAGTCCACAGAGAAATGTGAAGTTGTTATACAACATTTCAATGGAAAATATCTCAAGACTCCAGCAGGAATCCCAGGTACCGCTGTGACTGCTCTCAATTCACTACAGCTCAACTCAGTGCAAAGTACTGACAAACAAACAGAAACAGATGCTTCTCATAAGCTTTGTTAGGAGGAATAAAAATGAGACCCAAATGAGTCGCTAGCTGTCATCTAGTAAGAGCTGTAAAAATGTGGAGAATTTTGATTGCACACTTTTGAGACGCGTGTTTTCTCTCTTCAGCGTTTAGTGTGATTTGTTGGATTGAGACAAACAGTATTGTTTCTGAATGCGGTTTTGATCAGAACTGAGCTCAGGCTAGACAGGAAGTAATGATTATTCAACAGGAAGTGTTGCCTAGATCAGCTCATGTGTTTTATTTAAGGTTTTTCTGGGAAAAATCTGAGAAAGTGGAAGGAAGTTCATAAACATCACACAAGGAGGATTTTGTGTATCTGTCTATCGATCTATCTGTTTGTCTGTCTGTCTTTTCTATATATTTAGTTTTAGCAGTGAAATGGACAGATGTAGAGACTGAGTGATGGGTGTCTCTCTGTCTGTCCGTCCGTGTGTTTGCTGTAGTTTCAGTCTCTGTTCTTCGCGTCTGTCTGTAGGTCCGTCTGAACCG